GGGAAGTTGTTCTTACTAGAGAAATTCTTTAGGTTTAGGCTTGACCTGACTAAGGATATAGATGAGAACCTGGATGTGTTTAATAAACTGATACAAAATATCAAACAGGCAGGTGATAAACACATAGATGATTACACTCCCATAGTATTACTTAATGCCATTCCCGACTCTTATAATGATGTTAAGTCCGCTATTAAGTATGGTAGGGATGAGATTTCGTTAGACATTGTTGTGAATGGGTTAAGAAGTAAGGAATTAGACCTGAAGCATGCTAGGGGTAGTGCTAGTCAGTCCAGGGACTCCGGTGAGGCTATGTTTGTTAGGGGTAGATCTAAGGGTAGGTCTAAGAATCCTAAGCAAAATAGTCAGGGTAAGAACGCTAGTCAGCCTGGGAGGAAGAGGAGTAAATCTAGGAAGAGAGTGTGTTACAATTGTGGTAACACTGGCCATTTCATTAAGGATTGCCCCCACCCTAAGAAGACCGAGCATGCTAGTGTAGCTGTTGATAAATGTGACCTTGGTGATATTTTGATGGTTTGTGACCATGTTAATTCTGTGAGAAATTCCCTGTCTGAGCATGAATGGTTGATTGACTCTGGTTGTACCTATCACATGTCCCCCTTTAGAGATTTATTTTCTACTTATGAATTATGTGATAGTGGCTACGTTTCCTTAGCTGATAATAAGAGATGCAATGTGCTTGGTGTTGGTGATATATGTCTGAAGTTTTCTTGTGGCTCTGTGTTTACCATTAAGAATGTGAGGCATGTCCCTGATTTGTGTCATAACTTGTTATCTGTTGCTGCTTTGGAGAGTAGTGGGTTACAGGGAAAATGGGGGAATGGCTGTATGAAAATCCTGAAAAACTCGCTTGTTCTGTTTAAAGCTGAGAAGGTGAATAACCTTTATGTGTGCCATGCTAAACCTTTTGCTGAGTCTGTGAATGTTGTATGTTCTGATAAGACCTCTTTGTGGCATAATAGGCTAGGACATATGAGCAATAAGGGTTTAGATGTCATGCGTAGGGCTGGTTATTTTGGTAAGGACTCTGTGACTTCTGTGCCTTTCTGTGAATCATGTGTGTTAGGCAAGCAGCATAGAGTCAGCTTCCCTCCTTCCTCTTACCCTAATCTGTCTAAGTGTTCGTCTGTGCTTGAATATGTTCATGCCGATGTTTGGGGTCCTGCCAGTGTTCCTACCCACGGGGGTAGGAAATATTTCCTTTCTATCATTGATGATTTCTCTAGGAAGGTGTGGGTTTGCCTTTTAGAACACAAGTCTGATGTGTTTGTAAGGTTTAGGGAGTGGAAAACCCTAGTTGAAAACCAAACTGGCAGGAAGGTTAAAACCCTTAGGACCGATAACGGGTTAGAGTTTTGTAATAAGGAGATGGATAAGCTGTGTGTGGATTGTGGGATAAAAAGGCACAAAACTGTGCCTTATACTCCCCAACAGAATGGGATAGCAGAGAGAATGAATAGGTCTCTGTTGGATAAGGTTAGAAGCATGTTAGCTACCTCTGGTTTGTCTAAGAAATTCTGGGGTGAAGCAGTCACTACTGCTGCCTATTTGGTTAATAGGTCCCCGTCTGTCCCTCTTGGTGGTAAGTGTCCTGAAGCCGTCTTTACCGGTAAGCCTCTTGATCTGTCTAACCTTCGGGTGTTTGGTTGTGCAGCGTATGCACACCAACAGGGTGACAAGTTGGATCCTAGGTCTAAGAAATGTGTCTTCCTAGGTTATCCAGAGGGGGTAAAGGGTTACAGGTTATGGGATAGGAACCAGGTAGGCTTTAAAGTGGTCCTTAGCAGAAATGTGGTGTTCAATGAAACTGATTTTCCTTGCTTGACCGAGTCTGCTTCTAATCTTGAGTCTAGGTCTGATAGTACTCCTAGTGAGGTGGAGTCTGTCCCTGTTGCTGCTAGTCCTTTATCTGTTGATCCTGTTATTTCTGATGATATTGTTATGCATGATTCTGATTCCTCTGAGCATGTTAGTCCCACCACCTCGAGTGAGGTGGAGCATTTGCATGATACTGAGCATGATTTGCATGATATGGGTGCTGAATATGATTTTCATGATAACAATAATTTGCATGAGTTGCATGTGGAGCCTAGTAGTGATAATTTGCATGATTATCAACTTGCTAGAGATAGGAGTAGAAGGGCTATCAGGAGAACTGCTGATAGTATGCCTGATTATGCTTTCATTGTGCATGATACTTCTATGTTTGCATTTTCTGTGTTTGAATCCCTAGAGCTGAATGAACCCAAGACCTACCGTGAAGCCTTAGGTTCCAAAGAGTCTCAGAAATGGATTAGTGCCATGAAAAGTGAGATGGACTCTTTGAGAGTGAACCAGACTTGGACCCTTGTACCTAGACCCCCCAACTGTTCGGTAGTTGAGTGTAAGTGGTTGTTTAAGGTTAAGGAAGAACCTAGTGATGTTAGGTTTAAGGCTAGGTTGGTTGCGAAGGGGTTTACTCAAAAAGAGGGGGTAGATTATGCAGAAATCTTTGCTCCTGTTGTTAAATTCACCACTATTCGTATGATGCTTGCTTTAGTTGCTCACCATGACTGGGAAATGAAACAGATGGATGTAACTACTGCATTTTTGCATGGTGAATTGGATAAAACAATTTATATGACCCAGCCTGAGGGCTTTGTGGATCCCAAGAGAAGTGAGCATGTCTGTTTGCTTAGGAAGGCTTTGTATGGCCTGAAGCAATCCCCTAGGCAGTGGAACATCAAATTTGATAAATGCATGATATCTTTGAAGTTCCAGAAATCTGTTTGTGATCATTGCCTGTATTTCAAAAATACTTCTACTGTGCCTGTATTTTTGTTACTCTATGTGGATGACATGCTGATAATTAGTCCTTCTCTGAATGCTATTAAAGATGTGCAGAAATGTCTTTGTGCGAATTTTGCCATGAAAGACCTAGGTGATGCCAAGAGGATCCTAGGCATAAACATTGTTAGGGATAGGAGTAAGCGTACTCTTACTTTGAATCAGATTTCTTACATAGAAAAAGTTTTGAGTAAATTTAATATGTTATCTGCTTCTCCTGTTAATGTCCCTATGGCATCTCACTTTGTGTTAAGTAAGGACCAGTCTCCCAAGACTGCTCCTGAAATTGAGAAAATGAAATCTGTGCCTTATTCCAGCGCAATAGGGTCGGTGATGTATCTTATGGTTAGCACTAGACCTGATATTGCATATGCGGTTAGTTGCTTGAGTAGATATATGTCCAACCCTGGTTTGCCCCATTGGAATGCTCTTAAGTGGTTGCTTAGATATCTGATTTCTACTGTGAAGCATGGATTAATTTTCTCTAAATGTGCTAGTGGTATTGAATTGATTGGTTATGTTGATTCTAACTATGCAAATGATAGAGATAACAGGAAGTCGACCACTTCTTATGTTTTTACTTTGTGTGGCTCTTGCATTAGTTGGAAGTCTCAACTACAGCCTATTGTGGCCCTTTCTACCACTGAGTCCGAGTATGTTGCAGCCACAGAAGCGTTTAAGGAAGCCATCTGGCTCAAACGCCTTGTCTCCGAAATTGGGTTTCTCAAAAAGGGAGTTACCATTTTCTCGGATAGCCAATCGGCTATCCAACTTTGCAAAAATCCTGTATTTCATGATAGAACTAAGCATATTGATGTTAGGTTCCATTTCATACGTGATATTGTTGATGCAGGTGGAGTCAAGCTGTGCAAGATCCCGTCGGAGTTTAACCCCGCGGATATGGGTACCAAGTGTCTTTCTGCTGAGAAGCACTTGTCCTGTAAACGCGTGTTAAACTTTGATTGTGGATAACTGTGGGTTGCGTAATAAAGTGTTTGCCCGTTGTGTCTGTTGATATTCTGGGTGACCCGGCGATGATGAGTCTTGTCACAACTTTGTTTTGTTACTCTACACCACCTAGGACCAATAAGGTGGAGAATGTTGGAGGTATTGGTCCTACCAAGGCCTCCCTTCCACTTTATTTGTTGAGGCTTGCACACTCTGTTTTACTCTCTCTTGGATACCTATTCTTTGGTATATATCCTGATCAAATATATACCTATTAGAGTTGACTTTCCCAGTTGGCTGGCCCCTTTGATTGCTGTCCGCTGCATCCATCTTTGTCTTGGCTTAACATGTGACTTTCCTTGTCTAAGTAGCATGTGAGTGGTTTTTGTTTGACCTTACCCGTGACTCCCGTGAGCTTCTGCCTTTGTTCACCCGTGAGTGCCTAATAGGCAAGATACCTATTATAAAGTCATGACTCCCTTTGCCTTGTTGAGCAGCCTGCGTGAGTGAGTATCCTTCCAGAGAGCAGAGCTCCCTTTCTTCCTCCTTTGTGTGAGCATAAGATAGGTCCTTAGTGGAGAGAAAAATATGTGTGTGCTATAGCCTCCTCCTAAGTGTGGTGTGTGAGAGTGTGTGTGTTGAAAGACCTGAGCCGGAGACGGAGATACGATCTTTACACACCTTTCTTACGTCAAAATAGTTTTTTATCCATTACTCATTTACCATCACATCACATCAACTACTTACCCAATTTGTTACCCCTTACCCATCTTATCAGCCCTACGCATTTCGCACCCCTATCTGCTGTGATATACTACTCCGTACTATGTATCAATTCTCTATAGAAGTTAAGCTGGGATCTTCAAATTTTAAATTTTAGAAGTAAATCATGCTTTGATAGTTGTGATTTTATATCCATTCAATGCACACGACAAAAAAGTGTGATTATACCACCCATTTTACTAGGAAGATCTTGCTCCATACGATTGATTGCCCTACCCTTCGACTAGTGGCAGCCTGGCAGGGACATTTCAAGATGATTGCCAAATCACAAGATGATTGCCGAATCGCGTGGAACATGTGCATATTCAAATTTCAGTGTAATACTGTAGTTCACTTTAATTGGGGGGTGACAAAAAGGAATTACATTAACTCAACAGTCACCAACTCACCATACTTGACTAATGCATCTTGATGCGTTGTAGGTTCGGTTTGCACAGTGATAAGTAAATCACAAAGGAATAGTCCCGAGGTTTTATTACCCTTTATCAGCACAACATAACAACTTATAATGACAGTATGGAGAAAATGAGAGTTCATATGCTTCCAGCAAAGAGGCCCCAAAGCCGCGAATGTTTCCAAAGGAATCACACAACAAATAGATTGTTGCTAGATATTGTTCACTAAAAAGGGGAAAAACACCAAAGGCAAACAAAACTTGAGAAAGAACATGCACCTCAATCTCACGTCTGTTGAAAAACTATTGGCAGGACCTTATTATGCTCTTCTTCAATGTTATCAGCAATTGAGAAAAAATTTGTTCAATGAATTGATAAGGATGTAGCTTCAAAAATACTAATAATCTCAAGGCTTGAGCGCAAGGGCAACACCGAACCTGGGAGTCTTCTCCAAGGCCTTGGTGTCCAACTCACTTGAGATACTCAAAATCGACTTCGGAAAAACCTCATGCTGTAAGACAGCGCCCAGTTGCCCTTGATTGTTCAGCTTCAACTTCACATTCGTCAGCTCATCAATAGCACACGACCCACCAACTGTGATTGTGTTTTCATTAGTAGAAAACCTTCTCAAGATCTCCCCCACCACAGCAGCCTTCTTAGATGCATATGGATGGTGAGTATAAGAAGCTTTTATCGAGTCACCCTTGTCCCCCCTGTGCAAGAAGGGAAGATTAAATCAGTAAAATAAGAAAACCCAGCCTCATTGGCAAAACCAAGGTCATATGCATCGGTCAGTATTGATGTAATCATGTAAATATTGGCATTTCAAATTCATGGGATAATAGGAGGATATGTTGATATAGATACTGGAAAAATTGGAATTGAAAAAAAAAACTTGCATCTTGAAACGCTTTTCAGAGAAAATGTTTTGATATCATTCAATTTTCTTGACATTTTCCAAAACTTTTCCAAGATTTCATAGCTCTGTTTAGAACTTATACCAAGGAAAATGATTTTATTATGTTTGAATTTACCTTGGAAAAACGAAACAAAATCAAATTTCATCAGAAATCTTTATAAGTTTACTTAAGTTTAGATATATTAGTCTTAACATAATAGAACTCAAAGAAGTATATAAATAATAGAGTACAAACACATATCTAAAACTAATTTATTGACTTTGTACCATTTTTCACTCCTAACTTCATAGTTCACACTATATTCCTTCTTATTTCTTCACCTAGAATTTTGCGGGCTGAAATTAGACCCTAAAGAACGCGGAAATGCGAGTGAAAGAAAATAGGGATGATGAGAATAAGAGAAACTTGGAACATGAAAAAAGAACATAAACTCAATATACGTTATTTTTGGTACTTGGCCATAGTTGTCATGGTGCATGGCGACATCCATGGCGCACAGGCCTTTTCCCATGGCGATGGCGATGGCGATGGCGATGGCGCAAATATGGCGTCGCCACGTGACAAAAAAAAAAGAAAAAGAACTACAAAATGAATTATACACATTATAATTGATCAACCCAGCCACCAAAACATGATAAAAAAAACTTGAATAATAACATTCTAACCAAAACATGTGAGTTAAAATAGTTTGAAGTACTTCCAAAAAACATAATATTCAAAAAAAGTTTCATGTCTTGCAATTTGAAGTATCAAATCGATACTTCTTAAGCAAGTATTCAATTTAAGAAAGTGGCTTCCTGCTATATCTTAGTGTGTATAGTAATAGACTGTTTAACGAAAGTGGCTTCCTGCTACAATTAATAGGAGGGATTCCTGTTAGGATTGCGTGTGTTACACACTTACACTGGTCTTTGGTCACTGATCTTTTTTTATAAATAGTTTAAAAACTGATCACTGGCTTCTTGTTTAGAAATAGAACTTTCAGGCTTTTGATCACTGATCTTTTTTTATATATGGTGAATCTTATAAGCTATACCTACACTGGTATCATTTTAAAGTGAACAATGACATCATCTAAATTGATATGTTAACTCACTAAACTGTGATAAATTGATAGAGTAAATGTTAAATACAATGTTCTAAAGTAAAAACATTGATCTGAAATTCTGAATTGATATGTTAACTCGCTTAACTTCATCAGCCCTTAAAGTAAAAACATTATCTAGTCTAAACTAAATTAAAGAATCAATTTATCAATTTAAATAATGAGTTCTGAAGTAAAAACTTCATTTTCAATAATCTGAACATACCATTTAAACTATCTGAACAAATCATCCAAGTATCTTACTAAATTTATTTTAAATTGATAAAGTAACATAGCATTCAACATTAAAGGCTGAGCTGTTCTAAATTATTTGAACATTTATGCTAATTTAAAACTTCAAGCTGAACATTTATGATAATTTAAAACTTCCAAATTTTCTAAATTATCTGAACATTTATCTGAACATAAAGTAAAAAAACTTCATTTTAATATAAAGTAAAAACTTCAATTTAAATTATCTGAACATACCATTTAAATTATATGAACAAATCATCTAAGTATCTAACTAAATTTACTTTAAATTGATAAAGCAGCAATGTAGCATAGCATTTAACTAAATCATCTACTCTTGGCCTGTTGCTTTGGTTTATGTTCAAGTGTTTAACAGTTGGCACTCAAACCCCATGAAGTTTTTTTTATTAAGGGAAGTTCACATTCCAGATTTTGTATTAAATATTTAAATGAAGTTCACATTTTCAGGAATCATATATTCATATACTGTTTTGTATAAATTATAAGTGTATAAAGTATAAACTGAAGTTTTCTTCATTAATACAAAGCATTAAAGAGGGTAGTCAAACCTTTTGTAGTTGGAAGAAGTAAACAAGTTCCCCTTTCGTTTCTGGTTCAGGCGCAAGGTAGTCAAAAGCGAGCGCTTGGGCGCTTAAGCGCACCAGGCGCAGCACACATGAGGCTTAGCGACTGAACAATGGCCAGGCGCAGCACCCTGTGTGAAGCGCAGTTTATGCGCAGAAGCGCAGAAGCGCCAAAGCTGAAAAAAGCGCACGCTTAAACAGCCTGGGCTGGGAAAGGCTTATCAGTCTATTTTTTTTGTTTGATCCTACTTTAAATAATAAGCCCATACTGATAATAAGATCTGGCCCATCCAAATAATAGGTGAAAACAACTTAAACCCATATTAAACCCTTCTTAGTCGTGGGAAAAATCTTGACTTCATCGTTACTCTCCTGTGTTGTTATGTGCGCAACATGCTTAGCGCTGAAAAACATTCAGCGAACCCACAGAAGCCAAAAAATCCATAAGGTGTCTTCTTTTTCTTATTCTTCGCATGTTCTTTCTTCTTTTTCAGCTGAAAGTTTTCATTTATTTTGTCATCTTCTTTGTGATCCTTTCATTTTGTTCTTTCAGTCTATATTCTTTCTTTACTTTTATCAGTTCCAGACATTTATGCCTACTTTATGGTTCTTTTTGCTTCTCATATATGTTATACAACTCAAACATAATATATGTTCCTGACCTACCAGTTTACATGTGAACAGCATATTATTTCATCTTATTATACATTCTATAACTCTATATCTTCCTAGTATTATTTCATATTTTAACTGTCTAAAAACTTCATATAACTCTATATCTTCCTAGTATTATTTCATATTTTTAACTGTCTAAAAACTTCATATAATCTAACTCAGTCAATAGTTTTATACACTATATGATTTATGCTATTCCTAGTGCTAAAATTGCAAAATCAACAGACATACCCCACTCAGTGTTTTGTTTTTGTGAGTCATGACATTATTTTGGTGAATCATGACATTATTTTGGTGAATCATGACTTTATTTTTTAGAAACATGACTTTTTGATGCATTTAGTTCAATATGGTGTTGAATATGTCATATTGGATCACTCTAGAATAGTATACGTAATATTTTCTAAATAGTGCGCTTCACCCAAGTCAGGCGAGCGCTTTTTTGCGCCTTGCGCCTCAGGCGATACAAGTACTCTAGCGCCTTAAGTGCGCCTCGCGACTTTGACTACCTTGTTCAGGCGTATGGCTTTGTGTCTTCATTTATACTTTTGTTAGTGTTGTTATTAGTATAATGGGCTAAAATATTAATTTTTTATTAGAGTTTTATTAAGGTTATGGCCTCGCATAATATTAGAGCACTTAGCAGGCCCAACAGCCCAAAAAATTACAAAGCAATACCGGCTCATCCGTTAAAAAACATCGTGCATCGCCATGGCGAAGGCGAGAGAATGGCGATGGCGAAAGAATGGCGCTGCCATGTGTATTTCCATCGCCACGACCTATTTCATGGTGCAGAGGTGATTAGCGCGCCTCATGGCGCATGGCGCACACGCCATCAACAACCATGTACTTGGCCAAATTCATTTTTATTTTGGCATTTCTATAATACAAATAGTCAATCTAAACATATATGGATATATTAAAAACACCAATCATGTTTTATTTTACTTTGTTTTATCTGATACAAATATAGCATAAGAAAGTAACTTCACCTGATACTTAAATTCCTAGTTTCCTCCTTTTCTTGGCATTTTCCATATTTAAACGTAGCCTAAAGATATAACATTCCCTATTCGATATAAGAAACTACAGAAATTCTGGTGAGACTTTTGGGTTATTTGTCTTAGATAGACAGCACTGATGCATTATCGGTCATAATTAACTCACAAGATTAAGGCAGCACAAGAATCGGGTCCTGTTACACTGATACCAGCGTTGTACTTGGTCAGTTTGCCAGAAGAGGTTTCATAACCAGCTTCAGCACCTACAGCAAAGGTTGAAGTGCCAAATGTAACAGAAAGATCCACATTGGGTGACTGTTTTGGTGCAGACACAGCTGCTGCAAGGGTCGCATGGTGGTGGAAATACTCGAACTCCAGCTGCATAACATATTACAATCCCTCATAAAATGTTAGTTTTCAGAAATCGTGGGTACCTAATGCTTCAGTGATAGCTGAGTGCAAAAATGGCTTTGGACTAAACTAATTGTACCCCATCAAAGAGGTTAAAATTGAATAGAGGTATTGGAACAAAAAAAGTTTACATTAAGAAAACAGAAAAAAAATTATGGGAAATGTAAAGCAAGGCGCTTGAAATTGGTTGAGGAAGTGGATTGTATATGTTGTTTTTAAAGAATATACAATGGAAAAAGTAAATAAAATATAACTTTTTTTTTAACTTTATACCCTATTTTTAGTATGACCAAGTACCAACTCTATGTGCAGAGTATTTTTTACAAAAATGTAACAGTTGTTTAAGATTGTTGGTAATACTTGGTATCTTTTACCAATGCAACATAATATGTGCATATACACATGAGTGTAGAGTACTTTTTAGGGGTACATTTTTTCAATACGGGACTTATATTACTTATAATTTACAATAGTTGAGATATCATTCCTATTTATATCAGGCCCATGTTGGGACAAAAGTTTCAATAACAAAACATGGGTCATTCTAATGAAGAGCGTTCTTGTATAGAGATATTTACCTTTCCAGAATTATAATCAGGAAATTTCAGAGACGCAATGGCCTTGGTTGATGGCAGAATGTTCGCAACAGTCAGAGTTGTTGAGATCTGCAAAAAGCAATGATGAGACCTTTTCAATTGACAAAGCAAGTTTGTTTGTGGAAGAATAAAAGTTGTTTTAGCTACCCACGTTTGACTCTGTATCAACTTTGACGTCAACTATAGCATTGTTATATCGGTATTGTGCTGCCACATCTCCAGTTGAGAGAGCTCCTTTTTTTACAGCAGTTGATGTTAGGGCCTACAACACACAATAGAAATACAACATTTATAAAAATTGATATCATCCATTGGATATGAATGTGTAAACAATCATATGTCTCTTCACTTTTCACTCAAATTATGGCAAAATCAAGGTCATTGTGTTACATGGAACATGGAGTAGAAAGTAGAGAGAAATACTGTGGTCACCCGAGCTCCATTGATAGAAGTTGACCAAAACTAAAGCTAAATGGCCTGATTTATACTCCCATCTCTATGTTTCAGCCACGGTTTACCGGCACCATTAGGAGCACATCATAAATCATGACTTAAAGGTCTCAACCTCTAAAGCTCTAATTCCTTACAGCATTTAAATAGTTTTAAAAAAAGTTCATAAACACTAAAATCAATTCAACCACATCCATTTTATAGAGCAAGAGTTTAATGCATGAATTAGAAGTTAATACGTTTTTATCATTCTTTTGATTTTAAATATGAACTAGACAAAGTCTTCATATGAAAATTGGTTCCACGTGTCTAGATTATAAATGCCCATGTTCTTATATTACCGTATATATGTCAATCTCCCTATCATCATGGGACTTTTTGTGTCGCGAATATGGAGAGCAATTTTTTACAATAACACTATATTTGAACTTTTGATTGAAATGAAATGATTATTTTTCTTCTTCAGTTCTAAACAAAATACACCAACATGTAACATCTTGCAGACCTGTGCAACACTGCACTTGCTGTCCCTAACAGGGAACGATTTTTTATGCCCCTGAGTGCTGTTGAAGTGATATGAGTATGCCAGTACATGAGAGTATGAGACTCATGGTTGTTATAGTCATCCCAAATTAATGGAACACTTGTCCACTAGGCCAGTTGAAATTAGGAACCCCCAGGCCCTGAACTCCTCAAGACCAACCCCAAATATTAGACCCCAAGGTATCACAATCACCCTACGTCAAAATAAAACATCATTGCCATTTTGGGGGTAATGGGGAGTGGACTCTTGAGGTGTTCTAGACCATAAGGACCTTTTCCTTATTAATGTGGGATGAGGTGGCCTGAAAACGTGAAGATATCCCATGATTGAACACAAACTAGTGATAATGAGTTTCAATTAAAAAGGCAGGCGAATAAAGTTGGCACAAATGAAATCGAAACACGTATTGAACCCTCCCAGAGCATAGGTTGTTAAACTATAATTAAAGCGTTCGAACCTAATACTAGTAAGATACCAAGGGAAGCAAACAAGATACCAGCAGAAATCACGCTATCGATAGAAGTAACGGGATACAATTAATTCGTACCACGCCGCTGTCACTAATGGTCGATATAGATATCTTCTGATCCGAGACATAGTCCTTCGTTAGCAGATCTATGTCAATTGTCAATACGAGAATCAAATTCAAGTTCCGATATAGAAAAACTAACGCACAAAGCGTACATGAGCGTATTGATACGGGGGTGAGACAGGAAGAAAGCTACAAAAGTAGGATCTGAGATGAAGTTACCTTTGGCCTTCCTGCCAATACTGGAGTAAAGACCAGGTCCGATACTCATTTTCCCTCAGGCCGACGAGATCAACAGAAATGGAGAGACGAATGAGAGGCTCGGCGAGGTAGAACTCTGAATCTGTAAACTGGAGAGCACTGCGAAAAGTAATTCGTTCGTTTATAAGATGATGACAGGGCATAGTTTCTTACGGGCCACGAAAATCGAGTAGGAACCGGAAACGTGACGGATTTTGGTGGCTGAAGTATGTGTACCGTTGATTTAGTTAATCGTTTTTTTATACGGAGTAAATAAGAAACAAATCTTCATATTTCCAAAAAAACAAACAAACAAATCTTCATATACAACAAAAGATGTTTTTACTTGGATTCTAACTTGATCGAACCAAACCAGATTTGGATAGTTATAAAAATATAAAGAGACCAAACATTATCAGACCAGATCAACAAATTACAGTCCAAGTAAAAACATCTAATAATTTTAATAGATACAAAGTATATTCTTTTTTATTTTGGAGGTACCATCAATTCAAACCGTTGCAAACACTACAACGGGAATACGGGATAGTGGTTGTTGCTATTGGTGTTGCAAAAAGTTGGAAGGATCTGAAATGCAACAGAATTGCTTTTGTTGCCATTATTGTTGCAAATCAAGATTTGCAATGAAAATTCTATACTTTGCAATGGAATAAGAATAAGTGAAAGTTTACTCAAAAGACATATTACAAACTCAAAAACTAGCAATTTAAACATGAAATAATTACATAAATATGACCAAAATAAATATGATTTACAAAAATATGACTAGTTACTCTAGTGAGTAGTAATGAAATCATAGTGATTCATGTTCAAGTTTTTAACTTAAGTTACCACAACACTACGTTGTAGTAATGAATAGTCATATTTATGTAAATAAGTTTTATTTTAGTAATATTCTTGTAAAAATTCCTTTAAACATTAAAAACCAATTGCGTAGGCTAAAGATAAATGTAACAGTTTTTAAAGAGTATTGGCCATAGATGCAATCCAAAGAGCATATTTTCTTAACACATTATGCAAACACAAGTTTTCAATCTTTGAAAAAATTAGAGATGTCTTCAAAAATGACAAATATCGTTCCAAACTACTACAATTCATCTCCATCCCCGGCCCATAGGAAAGGATTGATAATGCATGTAAAAGAAGTTGGATCAAGACATGCAAAAGAGTGAGACAGTGATGGAGAGGCAACTTCTACTAAGCATAAATGGTTAATCGTGAGCTAGTCTTGTGACAAATAGATCCATTTGTCAAGGTCATGATTTTGTGGAATGACCGAATGATACTAGGTTACACTCGGCCTTGGCAATTCAAAGATGGAAGTGCTCAAGAATTTTGAAAGTATAGTTATATACTTATATTGAGACAATTTAGAATTTGTTAAGGGTATGTTTGGGAGTTAAAAAAATATGGAGGAGATGTGTTTGGAAGGCATTTGTAACCCTCCAAAACCCTTCAAATGCTCAATTTTCAAGTTCCCCAAATCGGGAGATTTTGAAGGATAACTAATTAAATCACAAATTTAGCTCAATTTTAAATAAATATAGACTCAGTGATTTGAATTTGTCATATATATGAAGTGATTTTAATTATAATTCATCCAAAACATTTACCTTTTCAAACTTGATACTACTCTGAAACAAGAAGAAGAGTTTCCAACTTTTTCCCTCTCATTATTCTCTTCCAATGACTAACCTTCATAACATTCCCCTCACCTCCCCTTCAAACTCCCAAACATACCCTAAGGCAAAAGTAATCCATGAAACTCATGATTTGAGTACTTTAGTGGTAGCCTTGAGATTCTAGGATTTTGAAGAGGAGGGTGAAGACTTTGGAGGTATGTTATTGGAGAGAAAGGTGATTAAACCATTCTTCATATTTGGGAGTTATAAATTTTGGGAAAAAAAGAGTTTTTGAAGAAATTATAATTAAAATCACATTAAAAATATGATGAATTCAAATAATTGAACTGATATTCATTTTTAGTTGAGCTTAAATTATCATTTCGTTAATTATCCTTCAAAATCCTCCAAATTGGAGGAATTAAAAAGTTGAGCATTTAGAGGGTTTTCGAGGGCTAGAAAAGTCCTCCGAAACCACTCTCTCCACTTTTTTAAACTCCCAAACATGAAAAGAAGAATTATAAACCCCCATCAAACCTTCCCTTCCTCTCCAAAACTAACTCTCAAACCTATCCTATAATCCTAAGGTAAAAATCCATATGAAAGGTCAAACGGTCAAGATGTAGATTTGTTAACTACAGTAATACGGAGTACAGAGCTAAAGAATACATACTTCATTCCTTCGATGTTAAATAAATACAATATTTTAAATTTATTTTATTCGTATGACCTATATTGATTACGCTTTATTTATTAATGCATTTGACAAATTACATATTTAAAAATATTGTTAAATTTATCTCATTGTAAATTTTCAAAAACTGATATTTTAAATTTTTTACTGATAGAAAATTTATTATACTTTGAATATATTAATGATTAAAGTTGTGCATCGACAAAAATGAAAAGTGGAATGTTGCACTGATTTAAGAAGGAAAAAACTATCAAGTAAACCCCCGTACTATATTAGAAAAGTCAATTAAACCCTCGTACTTTGAAAATACCCAATTAAACCCTCGAACTTCTAAAAAATATTCAATTAAGCCCTGTTGGCCGGTTAAGGACCGGTTTCCCGGTTAACTGCATATGTGGCGGCCACGTGGCATGCCACATGGCGGTTATTTTCTTTTCTCTTTATTTTTCTCCTTCTTTTCCTTTTCTATTTCTCTTTCCTATTCTTTTCTATTTCTGGTTCCCCTCTTCCCCGACTTACCCATCATTCCCCTCTTCAATTCCCAGGACTACTCCATCTACATCAAGATTTAGCTGCTATATTGTAAACCCAAGTGACTTCCTTCCTCATGTCCTAAGCAAACACGGCTCTTCTGGTCGGGACCTCCGGTGAACTCTGGAAAAGGGCTACAACTCCGGCGAGGTTGGCTCCTCTCCTCTATGTGAACAAGAAGAGATCAGAGTAAACGGTTCTTGTTCAGACAGTTGCCATTCACCCCTGTTGTTTTATGCTCAAATTCATAAGCAAAATTAGATCCTTCGGTGTGAAAGAAATTTTCTTGGTTCCTCGGAACTCCTTGGTGGCTTTGTCGTAAGCCCAAGCAGGTTCTTACGCCGAATCGAAGGTCCAGAGCATACCGGCTGCCATAATCTACAGCGAATTCTAGCAGACTCCGAGACGACAGCCTCTCTCCGGTGGAAAAAATAAATAAAGAAACTAAGGGGGTGTCCCCAATATGGATTTTAATGGATTTTAAAATATTTTAGAATTCCATCACAGTCTGGGTATCCTCAATCTGGATTTTCATGGAGTCTTTAAAAATCCAGGTATCCTCAAATATTCCATGGATTTCACTACCTATCTATTTTAATGGATTTTAAAAGATTTTGATGGATTTCTATACCAAAAAATAGAATAAACTCAATCCAACTCAATCTCACCACTAACCCTCGGATTTCCAAATCCATCATATAAAAAAAATTCGTCTCTTGCAATCTCAAACCACCTCTCCCGATTTCTCCTTCGCCACTCTAGTCTCCAGGTATGATTCTTCGTACCTTATTTCTTGTTTATCTTCAAACTATCCTTCTGCCGCCTTCTTTATCCTACCACCGAGTGAGTGGTGACGAAGGTTGATTAGAGTTGACCTGCTTATGAGATATATATATTGATGAGAATTCTGTTCTGAGAATTCCTTACCCTTTACTCACGGTGTAAAGGAACCAAATCTATCTCACGATGTAAAGGAACCAAATCTATCTCACGGTGATAGATGACCAACTTGTTAAGCTGAATTTTCCTTCCCCTTTATTGAAAGAAACGTTGGTATAAATAATACCAAGAATACAAATTACTATGGGACTCAAAGATAATGTAGTCGTATCCTTTTAGGACACTGCTACTGCCCGTTTCTAATGGACTCCTAATGCAAATAATAATAACAATAACTTATAATAATAAGAATAATAATAAATAGCTATCAGAACTTAAATCTTTCTCTACTGCATGTAATCGATCAGATGGATATTCGGCCTTCGTGCCCGCTTGCTCTTGTGCTCCAGCCCTGCCCCAATGTTCTCATCATTGCCCTTCTCTTAGAGATAAACCTTGTCCTCAAGGTTAAAATCTGGAAAATGTTCTCGTACTGATTTGACCGTCTCCCAAGTAGTATCTTCTTCACTAAGGCCAGTCCATTTGACTAGAGCTTCCTGAGTCAAGCCATCATGAGTGCGAATGGAACGATAACGGAGTACCTTCTTAGGAATAAAAAGGGGGTACTATCCTCAGAATATGGAGGTAATGTTGGGGACGGTGGCGGAATCGATCCCACTCTCTTCTTGAGTAAAGAGACGTGGAATACAGGATGAATGCGGGAGTCCTCTGGTAGGTCCAATTTATATGCGACATCCCCAAATCGTTCCAAAATCTTATAAGGTCCAAAGTACTTGCTAACAAGTTTATTTGCAGCCCTTCGAAAAAGGAAGTGCTGCCGGTAGGGTTGGAGTTTTAAGTAGACATAGTCGCCCACACTATATTGCACATCACGACGCCCGACATCGGCCAATTGTTTCATTTGATTTGCTGCCAGCACTAAATTAATTCGTATGATTCCCAGTACCTCATCTCTCGAATGGAGTTGGTTGTCAACTTCGGCTAGCGGAGATGTCTCGGCAGGATATGGTCGAAGAAGTGGTGGCTTCCTACCATAAAGGCCCTCAAAAGGAGTTATTCCAATGGAGCAATGATAAGTGGTGTTGTACCAAAATTCTGCCCATGCAAGGAAGCCACTCCATTTTTTGGACACTGATGAGTAAAACAACGAACGTATTGCCCGAGGCATCTATTAACTACCTCAGTTTGGCCGTCGGTCTGGGGGTGGTATGCTGAGCTAGTTTTCAAGGTTGTACCTTGTAGTCGAAATAATTCCTTCCAGAATAGGCTCATAAATATGCGATCACGGTCACTTACTCTTGTTTCGGGAAACCCATTCAATCGTACCACCTCCTGGATAAATATAGATGCCACCTCCTTCGCTGAAAATGGATGAGAGAGCGCTATAAAGTGAGCGTATTTGGTAAGCCGATCGACAACAACAAGTATATAATCCTTCCCTCCTGATCTGGGAAGTCCTTCTAAAAAGTCTAGCC